CTCAGTAGTGCGTTGCGAAAAAAACAATGGAAAAAAATATTGAACAAAGAGTTTGCATCAAATTTTGTGTTTCGAACGAAATTTCGTGTGCAGAATCTTTGCGAATGCTACAAAAGGCTTATGGGGAATCAGTTTTATCGAAAACTCAAGTTTATGAGTGGTACAAAGCCTTTCAGGACGGTCGTACGACCGTCGAAGACATGCCGCGTTCTGGACGACCTTCGACCTCTACCCCCGACGAAAACATTGAAAAGGCAAAGGAAATCGTGTTCCAAAATCCTCATGTGAGTGTTAGAGAGATAGCACGAGAGCTAGGCATCGGTCGTGAGATGGCTCGTTTGATTTTGGTGGAAAATTTGTGTATGCGACGTGTCAACGCTCGGCTTGTTCCGATTCACCTCAATTTGTTCCAACATTATCAACGATTTTAAGGCCAAACATTCAATAAATACCATCGAACAGCCACCGTATTCACCTGATCTTGCACCGTGTGACTTTTTCCTGTTTCCCAAACTCAAATTACCCCTCAGAGGAACGCGTTTTGAATCCATAGAAGACGTAAAACAGAATTCGCAGAGGGAACTCAAAGCCATACCGGAAAGCGCCTATAAAAAATGTTTAAACGTTGGCATTTGTGTATCGCTTCTAATGGAGCATATTTTGAAGGAGATAAAATAAATATTGATGAAGATTAAGAATTTATGTGACCGGAAACTTTTCGGTCACAATGTATAAATAAATTTTCAATTAAAATATCAAATTCCTAGTATTGTTCTATTTGTGATGCTTGAATATTTTATAGACTTTCCATTGTCGATTGGTGTAGACACATATGCACTGAGTAAATGCATTTGAGGAAGTTCCACTGACCGACCTACCTAACATATACGGAAAATTTAGTACTTTTTTTTTATTAGTTTTCACTTATTAATAATTACCTTCATTAACTCTTTTTACGGTCTCAACTTTTTTCTTTTACGTGCTAAAGGTTAGAGGCATTTTAAGAACAAATAAGTCCATTCACTGACTACTGACTTAACAAAAATGAATTGAGTAATCGGAAAGCCGTTTTCTTTTCACAATGTCAGGTAAAAATCGTAACCCAAATATTTTCTATAACTCATACCTCTGCATTAATGCTGTGTACAATAAATATAAATTTTATCATATTTTCAAAAATAAATTTTTTTAATTTTTTAATAATAATTTCAGTTTTATTTTTTCTTAATTTTTGTTGTGATTTATTAAAATATTCCCGCAAAATTACCACATCAATTTTCTTTTTTGTTTTGTTCCTCCTTTCTTACAGTTTGTTGTGCTCAAACTGACATAAAATTTCGTGTGTGTTGTGTTTATTGTGTGCTTGCTCACCAATACTAATGCAAGTTCAACAAATTTGGTTTACTCGAACCCCAACTTCGAAATAAAAAATATAAAATAAAATTCTTAAGAAATACAAATTGATATTCAGATATAAAATGTTTAAGCGAATTTCTTTTAAATTAATTTGTGTTTTGAGAGATTGTGTATTTTGTTCTCATTCACAAAAAAATGCACATTACACAAATTACACATTTGGAAGCGAGAGGAAGAGAACGCTCCGATTGTGTTTTGTGTATGGTTTACCCTTCTTCTGTGTGTTGTGAAAAAGTAGTAAAAATTTTGTGTAATTAAATTTAGAAAAAAATAGTACTGCTTTCACACAAAGAAGACACAAGGACAAGGGTATTCTTTGATTTTATATTTCTTATTTATATGAATAAGAAATATAAAAATTTACAATTCTAAATTAATATTAGGCCTTTTTGGCGGCTTGCATGCATGCTGGCCTATATTGACTTCGCGAGCCATTGGCATCACTGTTGCAATCTGTCAAGTATTATGTTTTGACAAATGGCAAAAATAGCATTATGCAAGCAAATTACATTTTATATAAAAATAAATAACATGAATTGAAAATTAAATTGAATACAAAATTAAAAGGAATCGTAAAAATTTCATAATAAAACACTGACATTTTTTTTTTTCAATTTTCAAATAAACAAATTTACATAGCTTATAATAGTTCTATTGGTGTAGAATTTAAGTGTTTTACCAGCGAAAAACTTAGCCAAGTGATTTTAAGCGCCTCTTTGGTTGAGCAATTTTCGGGGCGTTAAAACAGTTTTGCAGATATTGAAAAAATAGTAATCAAATAGTAGAGTGCTAGTTCCAGGCTGTACGGTAGAGGCAAACATACAAAGTTTTTGATTTTTGTTTAAGTTTTTATTTATATATAATTTTTGACACATGGTTGCAATATTCGCTGGAATTTCCAATGCAGGTTCACAATTGTTCGCTTATTGCGTTGGTAACACTTTTTTTACTGGCCTATGTGCTTGGCCAGTATATCTATACGGACCAAGGTAGAAAAAATAGTGTTGTTGTTTTGCGTACATTTCGGCCAGTATAGGCTATCAACTTGCTGTTTTTTGCCGTACTTGCGGGTCACCGAAAAGCCCTATTATTGAACTTCATTAAAAGCTCCATAAAAAATGTTCCAAAAAGTTTGAATATTGTAGAATTGTGATATTATATATTTGTGATAGAATTGATTTATGATTTTTTTATTTGCGATAAATGTTAGTACTAGATTTAATTGAAAAATGGTATTTCCTGTATTTTTGTTTTGTTGTATTATAATATAATACTAGATTCAGACAAGAGTTTAGTTTGTAATTTAAGCTATTAAATATTTTAATTTTGCATTGAAAGCAACAAAAATTGACAGCTAATATTACAAAAATTGACAGCTAAAATTACAATCAAGATTCTAGTTCAAGCAATTTGAAAGAGCATTTTTTATTCATTGATTTTTAAATAATAGTAGTAATGAGCATTTTTACTCTAAATTTTTCTAACATGTATTAAATATATTTCAATAATATTATAGGTATATATTAATTATTATATATCTTCAAATAGATAAAGAAATGTCATCTGTAAGCGTGTTATGTTTATATAGCTGGTTTAAGCAATCTGAAACGGAATATTGCATTCCTTAAAAAAGCGACACAAATGGTTTTAAAACCATATTTTTTTGTAAAAAAAAAAATTTTTACAGAGACATATATGTATAATCCAATGTCATCATAATTAATTTTTCAATTATTTTTAGGTATTAGATTGTGAAATTATAATTTCATTCAATTTTGACTTTAAAAAAATATGTAGTGTAGAGACATATTCACGTAATCGTGAATATTGCTTTCTCAGTGATTATCATTAAATAAGGACAGTATTTACCAGATTTGATTGAATGTGAAACTTAACAAAATATTAGAATAAGAACTGTGGTTGTACTGTAATTTGTTTACTTTAATAGTCAAAAGTTAAATAATGTGTTTTAATAAAGAGTAACAGGTAGTTTGAGCTACTATTATTGCTGTCCTTGTTTCTGTTTTGCATATGTCGTGGGCTGTTCTCTCTTCCTAATAGTGTGACAGCTAATACGGTCACTTCACTACCTGTTTAGAAACTGATGTTCGTTATTACGAATATTTAATGTCTTTTGTTTTACTAATAGATATTTGTTTACATTTTTTCTTTTTGTGCCCTTACCTGTTAAATTACGTTAATTGTTATTGGGTTGGTAATATATACTTCTTACAAAACAAACATGATGTTGTTGATTGTTACTAAAAGGTTTCTATTAATTGTAAATATTTATATTAAAAATATTCTGAATTACCATTTCAAGGGAAATAGGATGTAACTGAGAAACATATCGCGGCATTCGCTCTGCAAGTAATTTGTGATAGGATTTGTGTATAATTGTAAGCGGACTTTAAAAGAGAATGAAATATGCAAGAATAATTTGAAAATTTGAGTTAAATTCAAAGATTTAGAATTTTTCGTGTACCCTTTTTTTTACAGACTTAATAGAGCTATCCTCTTACAAAGTTAGGAACTTGTCCAAGTTTATAGGCTTGTCAAATAAGTTCACTTTCACTTGAATAAAGATGTAGTGCTTTTCGGAATGTTCATTCGTTGACCTTTTGTTCAACTAAGGTACCACTACAAGCTAAACTAACCTTGGGTCACAGCGACCAGATGTAAAATTCAACAAATTTATTTTGAATGAAAGTAAAAAAAAATATAGTCTACGTATGCGCATATGTTTCTTTTATGACCAAAGCCCCTCAACATTTCTTTTATGAACATAAGCTCAATGATCAGGACAACTGAAACTATTGGCCCTGATACATGTGGTATCAGAATTACACCTGTGGTCAGAAGCTTCTTGTGAAGTGTAAACTGTACTAGCTTTAACAAGTGTAAACTGTACTAGTTGTTAGTACTAGTTGCTAGTGCTTGGTCGCTGTAAGCGACTGGCTTCATGGAATATGGATTCCAACCATCCATATTCCTTTCTTGTTTCTAAATAACACCCTCCATTTTTACATTTCCTTTATCTTACGACACCCTAAACCATATGTTTGTATATAACAACTGACTTCATTGATTATGGATCACATCTATCAATAATTCATTATTATTGCCAAACAATTCCCTCTCTTTTCATATTTCCTCTACCTTTCCATATTCTAAACCATGTATTTCAAACCACATTCAAGTTTCTAAGTCTCTTCGATTTTAAAAATTGTTTGGTTATACTACTATATAGAGTAGTATAGCATATATATACATAGGGTAGTGTATATAGTATAGTATATATAATATACAAAATTAAAACTTGATTCAATTGTTTAAGAAATACTAGATTCACATAAGAGTTTTGTTTGTAATTTTAGCTCTCAATTGTTGTTGCGTCTTTAATGCAATATAAAATTTTTGCTGAAATTACAAACAAAACTCTCGTGTGAATCCAATATTATTTAAAATAATTTGTGTAGTTGGCAGCCCAGTTCATTACACAAAGATGGTTCAAACCTAATTTCATATATACGCGCTGAACTGTGTAACTCTCTCAACGTGTTCGTATTTTTAGTTTGTTTTCGACGTACCTCCGTGTTGGAGATGCTCTCGTGTGTTCTTTAAACAGCAGTTCCGATTGAAGAATAATATTGTGGATATACTATATGCTATATGCTATATGTGTGATATTTGTGCGAAGTAAACACGCTGTATGTGTGCCGGCTTAGAACATAATTATATTTATTTATAAAACATTCGGACCAACTCTCGGTTTTTAACCTTCTTCTATTCTGCACGATGGTAAAAAGAAGTACGTAACAACAAACTCACCCCGCGTGGCAATATCTAAAAAAGATTGTGCTGTGTATGGAAAGAACTGAACTGAACTAAACTGAACTGAACACTGAGTCCACCCGTGTGCTGTATTTACTCACTAGCTATGTAACAGCGTCCGTATATACGTGCACGGACGTACATTATATATGTACATACAGTTTAGTATAAAAAGTAGTATACAATAGACAGACTGACAGACATACCTACAGATATATGTTTGTATGTATATACTTAATTGTAAGTATAAAATAATTCAATATGGCGTTCGTGATGTCTGTCCGCTAATAATTTTTTTTTAACTTTTGTTAACAGATTATTTAAACTTAACTATATTAAGACAAAAATAATACGTTTACTTAAGTAGTTTAAGTGCGTTGAGTAATGGAAAATAAGACCATTACATACTTTCCATTGAGTATTGTTTTAGCTTCGAAGGTTTATTGACTTCCGAAAATTCAAAGATTCAAAGAAAATTCATCGTTTAACTGCTTCAGAAGAATTTCCAAATCGAGTAGAATTGCATATTAGAGTTTCGTTAGAGTTTCTCATATGTATCTGAGGCAATACTTGTGCTGTGTGTTTAAACCGTCTTATTATATCTTATTTACATACTTCATATACTTCATACTTTAAAAATTGAACAAACAAACCAAACCAAAAAAAATATTATAACTTCTTTCACTTTTAGGTGTTAAAATATAAAAAGTTTAACGATCAATGACTGAGGTTGATGCCGTAATGCCTGAAGGCGTATCCGTACCGATTATTTCTCAATCTAATAATATAACAATCAGTGACTCTGAAGCAGATGTTTCAATCGACAATGTTAAACAGTTGAAAGAGAGTCGGGCCCTAGAGGCGAAAGAAACGAATAATGAATCTATGGAAGTTGATGCTCCTGACACAGAAGAGGATGATTCACAAATAACTTCATCGTCCGAAAATGGTTGTGGCAGTGATCACGAAAAGAGACTAGATTCCAGATTTGATATAAATGCTGCTCCCGCTGATACATTGGATAATAATGACAAAACTGTAGACAGTTGCAGTAGGGACGATAGTCAGAGCAATGATGTAACTCAAAACAGTGAATCGCAAAACGAGAAATTAGATGAAGATCAAGACAGTGTTCCTAGCCAAGCACAAACGTCATCGAATATTGATAGCAATTGTGAAGCGAATTCAAATAAGAGCGAATCTACTCCAAATACCATTGCTTTCAAGAACATTGACAGTTTGATCAATGAATCGACAATCAGCATCAATGAAGAAACAGCTACAGAAGATTCTACAAGTTCTGGTAAACAGAATGATAATGAGAGCCTAACACTAGCAACGACTGCCGAAATAGTTAAGGATAGTAAAACGGAAAAACCGAATACAGCATCTCAGCAAGAAAATGGCGCACTCATCACGTTCAATAAAGTAGATAATATTACGAACTTTGTAGACTTAGGCGATGATTCAGATGTTGAAATGGACGAGGTTTCCAAAAAAGCTGATGAAACAATTAAAAATAATTCATTTGATCAAAAACTACCCAATGCTGTCTCAGACTCCACTTTAAATACAAGTGACTCAAAGCAGTTACAAAATGACTCTGATGGTGCTGTGATTATAAATTCTGATTCTGAAACGGAGGCTCTCCCAGCCGATAAAAAAATAGAAGCACAAAAGCCAACTGCTACGGAAATTGTAGATGATGATGATGATGATTGTGTAGTTATTGAAGATGATACACCCGCACCAATAAATAACGAGGTAGCAAAAAGAAAAAACGAAATTATGGATTTAAGCAGTTCAGATGACTTACCACCAAATAAACGACAACGTGTAACTCCACAACCCCAAAATACTTGCCAAATTGCAATTAAAGATCCTCGCTCACTAATGGCACCAGACTTGACTGGTAAAAAAGTGTCAGATATTTATCCAGTAAATATAACTCCAGCTACAGCAACTCCTGTACCAGCTTCACCACAGGGGCCGCCTAAACTTGTGCCTATGACAAATCCCACAAATTTTCCCTTTACTGGACTACCTGGTTTGAACACAACAGCAAATTGTCTACCAGGTTTGACGGATGATATGTTTGTATTAGAGGCTCCATCATTCATTGTTCCCTATATATACGAAAAACCTCCAGCAGATCAGTTAAAAGAAGTTGTTAAATTAATTGAAACCAAATATGAGATAACTAAGGACGATCTTGCAGATGTAGATAAATCTGATGAATTTGACATGATGACTGAACAAAATAAAGAAGATAGAGTCGAAAAGAGCGACAAGAAAAAGAAAAAGAAACATGTGAATGATGACGGAGATGATTCTTGGACGGAGGAATCGGATGCAGATGAAGATGAAGAAGATGATGACGATTCTGAAACGGGTGTGAAAACAAAAGTATTAATCAAAGAGGTACAAGATGATTTTTCAGCTGTATCGAGTGCTATTAAACCTGCCGCAGCGGTAGTTGCTACGCAATCACCGAGTGCGAATTCTTCCTCAAAACCTGGTCAAGAGAACTACTTCGAAAGTCCTCTAGGAAAGTTTTTTATGGATATTGGTGTTGGTCTAGTACAGGAATTTGTGCAAGCTGACTTACTAAGACTACAAAAGCGGAAAATGCGCAAAAGCTTGGGAAAAAATATTACAGAATTTGAAAGAGCTATCAATGCGTTGTCAGCCAATCTGGAGGCGTCGAAAAAGAAAAATGTGGCTTTTAAATTTACAATGAAACGTTGCGAATTTTGTACATTCAAATCAGAATCTGCACTGGCTATGGCAAACCACTATGAAACACCACACATGAACGGGGTACTGTACAAATGCAACTTCTGCCCATATGAGATACGTAATGCTACCGAAATCGTATACCATATGGAAGCAATACACAATATTAAAGCACGCTTAATAAAACCTTTACCCTATCATCAATGTCCAAACTGTGGTTTTGAAGATAATGGAAGAGCAAAATTGGCACGACATCAGCCCGTTTGTGCGAAGAAGTTCAGGCCTGAAATTAATTTATTACCTCCTGTTGATTGGGAAGCGCCAGCGAAGATTCCGCGCATTAAACCACGACATGGACTCGTTGGCACAGCAACAGCTTACCAGGTAATTTTTTAATTTAAATTGATATAAATTCGGTTTGTAAATTTTACTTAAATTTTTTTCAGGCTATGGCAGCACAGGCCGCAGCGCAAAAAGCAGCTCTGGCTACCATGCAGCAGCAACAAGCAGCGCGTAATCTGCAAGCGGCTGCTATTGCTGCGCAGAATGCAGCTAAGGTACGACAACGGGCACCACCTCTGCCTAAACCGATACAAACTAATAATGTAGCGAATTTACGTGGACCTACTATGGTGAGGAATCCGATAAGTACTAATGTTGTCTTACCCAACAATTACCAATTTGCTGGCGGGCAACTTGTTCAAGTGAGTACATAATCATGTGTTAGCAATCTATACATATATATAGAAAATGCTTTTTGTATAGTCTCCAGCAGGAAAGAAACCTACTGCAGGACAACCAAGTATTTCTATAACTCCACTACCTCGTCAGACTGCTACTCCTCAACCGTCGGCAGCACCGGTTATGAAAATGCCACCGGTCGGAATGAAGCCTGGTCAAAATCCCGCTGGCGGCAACAAAGCACAGTTTGTTATATGTGAAATTTGTGATGGCTACATTAAGGACCTGGAACAATTACGCAATCACATGCAATGGATGCATAAAGTGAAGGTAAAAGTCTTATATTTTCTCAATATTAAATTAAAAATAAAGTAAATTATTAATTTTTATTAAATATCTTACTACAGATTCACCCTAAGATGATCTATAACCGACCCCCTTTAAATTGTCAAAAGTGTCAATTTAGATTTTTCACTGACCAAGGACTGGAAAGACATTTATTGGGGTCTCATGGCTTGGTCACAAGCTCAATGCAAGAAGCTGCAAACAAAGGAAAAGATGCTGGCCGGTGTCCAGTTTGTGGCAGGGTATATATAAATAATTTTTTGTCTTCTTTTTTTTTTATTGTGTTTGTGCAATATTTTTAATGCTATTAATACAAAATTTTCGTTTTTTTTACTTAGATGTATCAATGGAAACTGTTGAACCATGTTTCGCGTGACCATCATATGACATTGAAACCAGCGCACTTATCATATAAATGCACTGTGTGCACAGCTACATTTGGCATGTATAAACTATTTGAAACACATGTCTACACTGCACACAGCACTGTGGCTAAGAAAGCTATGGATAATAAGAAAAATAATTCATCTCCGGGAGCGGCAAGCAGCAGTAACAGCCAACGCAACTCTTTCGGTTCTGCAAACGATTCGTTGTTGAAACCATTAAAAATTAATGATGAGATTACTATTATTCCACAGCCAGCATCCAAATCACGAATAAATAATATGGAAAGTCATATCATTGGTAGGTTATAGACAAAGACAAAACATTCTATGATTAAAATCTATCGAAAATTTACTTACGTAATATTTAAACAGAGTAGTTCTAAAATAAATTGACCTAATTTGATTATTTTGTATTTAATACTAAATTTTCGAAATGCGTATTATATTGTTTTAATATTATAAAACTAAATAGTAAGCATTTTTTACTCACAATCTACAAAATCTTAATTTCAGATTAACTTCATACAAATTCACATGTGTAATATCTTCACATTATAACTGGTATATAGGAAACACTACGTGCATTGCGAAAACCATTTGTACGAATCTGTTTTGATAATGTTGCAGTTAAATACTTCTAATATTAATGTAAAAGATATAAGATATTGATGGCGTAACTTATTTATATAAAATTTGTAAAGCAGAAATCTATAACGTTTGTAGTTAACCTATTATCAAGTCTATTGTATACTGCAATTACGAAAAAAAAGATTTCGCACATATTAGATAAAAAAAAAAATAAGTTATGCCTATTGTATAAACATCCGGTCTTACTGTTAAGATTTATCAATTCTTTAGTTTATATAGAATATTTAAATGTTTTATTTAAGAATATATGCGTTATTATTTTAAAATGTTTCATATAAGAATTCTGTAAATTAGATTTAATATAAGGAAAGTAGTAAATAGTTCGCGTTTCACGAGTCAGGCTAATTAAAATATAATATATAACAAAATATTAAGAACATAATGAAAACAATAAATGAAAACCCTACAAACTAAATATTGAATTCAATATAAATATTGTGTATTTTATTTTATTTTACTTTATATATTTTAAGTACATATATGTATACCAATCTACACCACAATAACGCATGCATATACTATCACTTTATTGTGTCTAAATTGAGATATTGCATACAGAACGCATCTGCATAAATTATTTAAGGCACTAAATTTAAAATTGATATAAAACAAATATATACATATAAGTAAATAATTAAAAGGAATAATGATTATATAAAAAATAACAATAAAAATTATAAACTTATATACTTATGTTATTAAATTTAAAAATTATAAAAAGAATGCATCGTAACTATTAATTTGAACTTATTTATAAAAAGGAAAAAAATAAATTATAATAACTATTTAAAATTTTAATATGTATTGGTTTTCATATATTTTAAGCTTATGAATGAATATATAATAGGTTTCGGATTTATAGCTTACAACGTTAAGCATTACAACCAATATTCGGTGTGTACTAAGAGCTATGAATATTATTTGAACTGTTCTAAGCTTCGATTTTCAACTATTGTTGAGTATTTAGCTTAAACACAGTGAACCGCTTGAAAATATTTGAATACCATAATACGGGCGACCCTTTGTTGTTATACGTATTTGTTTAAAATGAAAAAGATTTGCTCTTTCAGCTGCTCGAACATTTTATAACGATTAAAATCTTCGATCCAAACGGTCAAATTTGAGTATAGTCGACTTTGAACTATTAGTATATGCTCCCCTGGAATTAAAGTTATTTTGTTGGTGTTTAATGATATCTTCTTTGTTATATGTATGTGCATGAATAAGTTACGCTCCCTTCAAGATGCATTTATCGATGCCTTTCTTTGTATCATGAATACATAGACACCTATTGGAAAGGAGTCAACATCAATGAATTGGAATGTGTACAGTGCACACAGATGGACGATCCTCTTCGAGGCCACGGTTATATTGCAACAAAAACTTTTCAATACGCTTTCGCTTAATATCTTCTATCCTAGTTTAATTAGGATTAGAATGCTTAACAGTTACTTGTCACAAGTAAATGCTTTAATTCCTAATATGTATCATTATTACAGCTCTGCTCCCAAAATGTCGCCAATGTTTACATGTCGCAATACACAGACTAACTTGAGTCCAATTGGTCTTTGGCTCCGTCTGATTATTTTTCAATCAAGGTGAAGAATAAGTTTCTAGGCCTTGATATAGTTTGACTTCAATTAAGATCCCACTCACCTCAAACCCATTCTTGTTCCTAAACAATCCTCAAAACCCATATATTAGTATTTGTAATTCCTTTCATATTATCAGTTCAATAAATAGTAATATAGTAATAATAATAAATCGAAGTCATCATTCCTTTGTCTTCCAATGATCCTTCTTTTCTTTTATTTTTCTCTACAAATTATTACTTAATATTCCGGGACATGGAATAACATCAATGAAGGAAACTGTTCTGCAAAATTTGGAATGGAATCGATTCGGATGGTCACTTACAGCTCTTAAACATTATGAACTATGTATCATTCTCAACAAGGTAGCTCTCTCTTTTACGCGAAAGGCTTAGCTTTTCACATATTTTGAAATTAATTTACAAGTTTTCTAAGAACCGAATAAATCTATGTTCTTTTGAGATAATAGAATAAAAATCCTAGCAACCGGTCGTGTAGTCTCCTTAGGCATGGTAAAAATATATTGCAAACCGATTTTTAATTATTTCCATGTTGGCCTGATTTTTGACGTTTGCATTGTTTAGATTCATACTCATATTCATATTTAAAATTCGTTTTACAGCATCTGCTATATAGATCTTTCCGGACTACAATAACAATCGGACTCATTCCAACTAATACAATAGGAGTATTTAGATCGAGCTCGTTAACTTGATATTCGATAAAGGGATAAAATCATAAATATTAAAGCTCGGTTTTTCGACTTTTTTTGATAAAGTTATAACTGAAGGTTCAACTCAGTTGATTTTGATTAATGCTTTTGATCACAATAGGTTAAATTAGGTTGAGAGATCGCGTGTTAATACAAACATCTGAAATCCAGTCCACTGAAAGAGATTTCTTGTCCATCGTGAAGTTCTCAAACTTAACAGAGGAAAAACGAGATAAAGTAATCATTGTTTCTATATAGCTCCATGTATTATTATTATAAACTATTCCGTCTTCTATATGAAATTTTGCCAGATGTGTGAAAAAATTATCTTTCAGGCATTGAAGTCACTTCGTCTATATTGTGCACATCATTGCAACGTTGAAGTATCGGCACAGTTATATAGTGTTCCGTTAGTCCTCCAGTAAATACACAAACTACATGTTTGCTGAATGAAACTCAAATGTTTTATCTATCTAATCTAATCCTGTCTATCCTTTCTAGTTAGTTTATAAGTAACCTCAATGGTAAATTCACCTTGACTCCAAAACAGAGTTCATATCGTATAGATCCAACCATAATAAGTAGCTATTCCTTCTTTGTGATTGTATAGTTGGCGTTGAAGTTTAGTTAGTATCAATAAGTACTTTTACTTTGTTTTGTTAGTGAACTTCTTTATTAATTATTATTTTAACTCTACTTTTATACTGATACTGCGTTTTTCAATATTGATCCCCGGTTTGCATGTTATTCTTCTTCACTTCTATTGATTCTTTAAGATATAACCGGATAGACTAATGGACTAATCCTGTAGATAACTTTAAATAAATTTATCTTCGGATATTCGGAATATATGTTAAACATTCAATGGTTTTAAACTCTGTTCAGACTACAATGTTAATTAAGGAAGAGAATGCAAAGTTCTAAAATTAATCATTTTATTGCATTACCATTTGGATTTTAATAAGAAGATATGTTTATTATGATACTGAAAAAATTTCACGGCAATAGATAAGAGTATGAAACTATTTTTTTTATAGATTATATATTGTCTACTTAAAAATGTTGTTTTCCCTCTCAAAACGATCATTAGATCATTGAGATGAAATATTAGTTTGAGGTATCTGATAAAATAAAATAAATACCGATTGTTATTGTAGTCAATCCTAGAATTTTACAAGTCTTTAAGAAGTTTAAAACCTGCCATCTGGATTATGAGATTGAACTTTAAATAGTCGTCTACAGTACAATGGTCAAGAAGTACACGAAATTTGTTTATTAAATTGTGAATCATGAATTAATTTTTAAGGTTCATTGCATCACAAAATTGCATATTTGTAAATTGAACTGACCAAAAGGAATGGAACCGGGAGCAACCGGTTCTAAATTCTGTTATCACTCGTTATTGACTATCAGTGCTACTTATTAGTGCTGTTGGAGTTATAACATTCGTAGGGAAGAACTAATCTGACATCCACCAAAGGTGAATTACGAGATGTTTATATTCCAAACCTAATGGTTGGCTTTTATAATATATTTATGTTTTGTATGTTATTACATTATTGTATTACTATATTAATGTGTATATTAAAAACATCAATTTCTCTGTCATAACATTAACATTAAAGAAAATGCAAGTTATGTTACATGGAGCAGCATCTCTTCAAGAGGTCTGAAGTCAGCAATAGAAAGAAGAAGATTAAATTATGTATACATGATAAAAATGGAGTTGTGTAAAGTTGCTTATTATTAATGTTGAGGTAAGAACTTTACTTAGCCGGAGGTAAAGATTCCAATAGCGTCATGATAAGTACCCTCCTGTTTCCGCGTAACATTCACCGAACATTTCGCATGTGAATATATATTGCAATGAATTCACTGTCTGTAAGGTCGAATATCGCCGAGCAATTACTGCTCTGCTACCTGAATCTGTGTCTTCTAAGAAAATATGTTTTCATTGGACTAAAGTTTTGAATTGTTCTGGTAATAAAGGACACCTTTTTCGTGTAGTAACAATTGTAGTTGTCGAATCGAGATTAGGATATAGTTATCTGCTAAACAGATGCTTATCGCGTAGAAACACATTTATTCCCAATCTGTGCTCTAATGACAGCTCTGTTTCTATATCTGTTTCCATGACTCTCATTATCTTGACTCCTATTGGCTTAAGCTTCACTCTAATAGAAATGGCTCTTTTACCTGAACTAGCACCATAGATTTTTTCTCCTTAAAATAGATGAGAAATCCTGTATTTTAAATGAGAAATCATCTATTTTACTAGCAAGGTTCTGGTTACTTTCAAGCTTGTAGTGCAGGGATGTTTTCCATTTCAAAGCTGATTCTTAAAATTTTTCTTATGCTCTTCGTTGTTAACTGTTGCTATTGCTTGCACTTCTCCAAAAACCTTGCACTAAAGCTTTTTTCTGTTTATGGCGGAAATCGGCAAAAGCTTGTCAAGCTTCCAATATTTAAGCTTTTAGGTTCAACATATGTTGTTTAAATGCCTAAGTTCCCTAAAAGTCTACACGCAATGCCAGAAAGCTAAATTCCATCAGTCGCTCAGTATCATTGTGATTTAAAATTAATAACATTAATATTAAACTAATTATATTTTTTTAACAAAGTTTCCAAAAATTAAAAAAAAAATAAAATTACAAAATAAATTTAAAGAAAATACGAGAAAAACTAGTGGAGGAAAGAAAAGGAAAATACTTTAAAATTATTTTCGGCGAAGGTAACCAAAAAGGCCGTGGAATATAACGACTTTCAACGACTTTCTTATAAAAAATTATTTAAAATAATCGAGAAATTCATTGTGATTAAAGAAAAAGTTTACTTTTAATTAAATTAAATTAAATTGAAATTGATTAATTTACGGAAAAATAGAAAAAGTAGGAAAAATTTTCTCTATAAAAAATTAAATTCGATACCTTAAATTTCTGTGGGAGTGCGCAAGTGTGAGCTTTTTTCATTATTATTTTTCCTTAAGGCTAAGCAGACTTCCACAAGCAGAAAATCGCAATTTAAAATTTACATTAGCCAAGCAATTAAAAATTTATTTATAAACTTTCGATTTATAGACTTCCAAAATATCGGAACACGTGTTAATTGTTCTACACTCAATTCAATTGAAAACTTTTCATTTATTTAGAAATCTAATGGCTGCGGTTGTACATGGCTGTGGTAGTCCCAGACAGCATCATCACGGTAGCAACATTTCCAACACGAATTCCTATCTGTCAGGCAGTCATTACCAATATTCGACGGCGCCAAAATATTTGCAGAGGTCTGCAGGTCAGCAGTTCATCAACACAAACAATCATCACCACAGTGCTGGACACCAGTACAATGCAACACTGCCCCCCGTTTCCTATTTGCCTGTAGGCTCCGCAACTCAACTGCACTCGCATGTCTCCAGTCAAAGACCTTTAACAGCAGGAACAATAGCAGCAACTGGTGATGCGTGCTGCACTTATTGGGGTCATCCGCGAGCTTCGACCATGCTGTACAGAGCGGGTAGGCATCACAGCAAAAGAAAGTCTGCTGTTGAGTTGCTTGCCGAGAGCAAGTCATTCTTTATGAAGCCCAACAGTATAACGGATAGACTGCATAACACTACCTACCGCATGGCAGATGTGGGTAGTAGTAAACGTGGTCGTAGCTATGCTGACAGAAAGGATGATAGGCGTAGTGTTACATATGGCGAGAGTAATTACGAAATGGATCCAAGATTTCTGCCAAGTCATGGACATCAGGGTAGTAGAAATGCGCATTTGCATCATCATCATCACGCGCACAATCAGCCACATTTGGGTCGCCGCGGATCTGGCATGAATAGCAGTAGTTTGTTACAGAGTAAATCTCGCCTTTTGCAGCAGGACTGTTATAGACGAGATGAGACTCATTTATTGGATTTGTCCAATGGTATGAATCCCAGAAGTTGCTTAAAAGAAGTAAGTGTTTTCATCTGCTTTTTTATGGAATATATTTTTACTATACTAACTTTTTTTTGTAGTTATCAGGCATAGATATTGGCACCGAAGATAATACTGCTGTCACCCTACCACCACCTGCATTTAATTCTCCACAATCTTTTGATAATATTTATAACTACGGTGCTGAAAATAGTAGTGGAGATGAGCTGTTGGTTTTAACTGAAAATTACCGACCCATTAGTCCACCTGCTGAATACGCCGCTGACACAAATGAAACCATAAATGAACAACGCTCCAGGTAAGTTTTACAACCCAAAATATATAGAATAAATTCAGAGAGGATTAAACTTTCAAACTTTTGAGAAATATGCGATTAATAGAGTTGAAGGGCATAATGTTAGCTTGAGTCTAACTATTGACTAATAGAACTGTTTAGTTTAGTGTTGAGATTAAAATATGTTGACCTAAGAAGTTAGTGGTTTTAGTTGCCTTTAATAAATAATTGAAGCCTTAAGGTAGGTCTTTTATACTTTCAAAGAAAGGATTTGCTTAAGTCTCATAATTTTTAACATTGAAAATAGGCGCAACTTTTTAGCGATTCTAACCCAGCCTCTGCACTGGCAAGACTTTGGCAACATTTTTGTATATGCTGCCAAGATATAGTTGTGGTCCACAAGGTACCATATTGTAACCGGTTCTGGCAAATTCGTACACACCTTCATTTCCTGATATGCAAAAATTGACAAGAATCCATTAAAAGGTTAAATTGTTGTATCAACCGATGCCGTTTAAGCTACACTTTCAATCATAGACTAGTTTCAACGATGTGATCGGCTTAATCACTTAAGCCTAGCTTCGCTGTTACTTAAAACCACAATCAGTCTCCTTTTCCATTTAAATTAAATTTAAATGAAATTAGTTCCATTGAAACAGGTGACGTAATTTTGCTCTGTTTTCTTTATAAATGTATACCTATAAATAAATAATGAAGCTTTAACACTGCAATTGCCTAAGCAATAGTCTGTGTGTCATATATCTCTACGAACTTTGGAAGTGTCATAACTGCATGTTTTTATAAAAACTAGAATTATTTTTAATATTTTTGGTTTGTAGTATATAAAGTATATATAACTATTAAATATCATTGATATACTTATACCTAGCTTAAGCGTTTTATTTTCTACTATACAATATTAATATCTTTTTGAAATATATATCTTTTTTTACTTATAGATACAATTATCAACGGTCATATTCACAATCTCATGAAATAGCCGCTGAAAATGTCAAATACACTGCCGCCGCATACAATATTAATAGTCATAAGTCCCTTCCCGATTTGCATTCTCAGATAAGTAGACACTCGCCTCATAGCGAAATCTTAAGTTGCTGCAGCCGCGGCAATCGCTCTACAAAATCAGCTGGTGAGTCATCATTGAATCGCGACTCTGGCGGTTCTTCTGGACATTATACACATCGCAGTGAACCATGCTTCAAGCAGCGTGACGATGATATCGAAGTATACGAAACGAAAAATTGCTGCAATTCCGCGACACCTATGGATTATCTACGTGACAGTGGCTCTTCGACACAGCATAGTGCCACATCATACTATGGCTATGGTTCACCTCCCAATTATCGCAACTACGACTGTACAGAATGCAATTGTAGGAACGCCACAACTTTTGAATCAGATTTTCTTATCAATTTTACTACGCCTGAAGTACCCGAAGCTTTTCAAGACAATTACACCCCTCCCTCACCTTCCATAACAAATTATAAAACAGAAGAACGCTACCCCACAGCATACAGTAACCAAACTTATGGCACCAGTAGACGACCATCACAGCAGTCTATAGTGCAAAGCCCCGACTCGGTGCCCACAGTGGGTGATATAAGTCCACCACCAATCAAGTTTAAGCGCCAAAAATGCATCAGATTAAAGAACCACAGTCGCATTTTATTGCCCAGCACAACCAATCAACGTGTCATGCTCAATAAAAATGAGGATTTAGGCCCATTGCCACCAACTCCACTAATGCAAAAACAACAACAACAAACCTTCGTTTTTCCGAAATGTTTTTCAACTGATGGCAGCTATCAGCACACCGAGAAATTGCACAGTGGCGAATATAGCAAAGCCGCTTCGGTGGATATTGACTATGAACATGTTTCCGACAGCATTTTGGACTTGGAGAGGTTCTTCGACCGTTTGGGATTGAATGACGAAAAATTCCATGAGATTTACAGTCCTATCAAGCGCGCTGACAGTGATTCTGACAACTCAAGTACAGTATTTTTCTCAGATGTGAGCACAGTAGACTCCATGCGTTTGCCTGACAGCACTGATACTCAAGTGCAAGCCAATCCGACTTATCGACCATCGGAGCCACTCTCTATTGTGGAACGCAATGCGCGAATCATAAAATGGTTGTGCAACTGTAAGAAGTCGCAGTACGCGTAAAACTCAGCACAGATACTCGCAAAGCCAGTGATAGCATAAGGACACTAAACAAATACATATAGTATGTAAGCCCAGCTCAAAAGCTCAACAGTTCAATCAATAACCCCAAGTGTCGATTAAATGTATTCGTAATTTAAGTGTTTGTAAGAAACTAGAACCGTAGATCTTTTTATTGTAGTGTGTGGAAAATACTCGTAAGTCGCTTGTTTAAGTTCGTTTTAAGTGTTAAGGATAATTGTGTTCGGTTTAGGCCAAGGAATTCGCTAAATACTAGAAATTACTCATTTTACGGCTGTGTAGCTTGCAAAATTAAAACTTTTGTCAGTTTGCCTGAGAGAATTGTTATATTTTCTAATCGAAACATTATAAACAATAATCAAAACCCTATTAGGTTATAAACTATCTGAATCCAGTATTAAGCGAATCATGGATTTGAATAATCAGACTATGTACTTTGGTCCATACACCATACTTTGGAGTATGCAGCCAGGTATATGGTTTCCTGAAAAATATTTATGGTGCCAAATAATTTAAATAGTTAATTACTTATAATTATTAACTAATTAATTAATTAATTAATCAATCAGTATTATATTTACAATATAAAGAATAAATTTTGCTCATTTCAGCTGTTCTTAATAATTAGTTAATATTAGCATATACTTATATACTATATACTACTATATTATGTATTGTATACTTAATAAAGATTCAATATGAAAACCAATGACAAATTTATATACAAAACTCAATATCTAAATCAAAATGGATCAGCATCAGTAAAAAATTGAAGATATTAGTATATAATATCTAAACCTAAAACAACAACCCAATAATTGTAATGTATGGAATTATTAATAAATAATTTTTGACGATTAAACTACAAAAAACAAAAAAAATCAAAAAGTTTCTATTATTAACAAAATAAAATGTATCTATTATCTATTTGAAGTATTCAACTATTGAAGTGCACAGACTCATCAAGTCAATGGGCATTTCGAGTGATGTACAAGTCTTAAATATATTATAAATTTGAATAAAATGTAGTATTAGTTACCAATATAAATACTATTAAACCTTTAAAATGGACTTTTATTTCCTTTGTAGTTCCAATTAACTTTAAGCGAGTAATCTTTGAAGACAACTTGAAGAGTTTGGTCAACCTAGTATTTGCAGCTTCACATTGGTTTACTGTGATAAATGAACATTTAACCTAGTCTCTATATAAGGTTAGGTTAGATTGAAACTGTGCCGGCCAATACTAATAGCAGTAGTTCCAGTCGAAGAAATCTATTAAGTGTTGCTCTGAAAGTTGTCTCGGAAAGGAGAGTTTCACTAAGTTTTCTTAAACATTGCATTCGCCTTATCTGTAGTCCTTGATGAAGACATAGAAAGTGATTATAGAATCTTACTTCTTTATCTTGACAATTCCACATATCAGAATGTCAGAATATATGCCAGAATACACCACCGTTGAAGCATCGGTGCAATAGTATATTTCCATTGCAGTCGCCTTATCTGCACTCCTTTATTAAGACATAGAAAGTGATTATTGGATTCCACTTTTTTTGTTGATGATGCAGTCTATGTCTCATTAAACGACTAACCTCCTTCATGACCCCTCCTGTAAGTAGTTGGCTGAGTTCTTCACTCTAGACTCATACCGTCTTAGAGGTCCCTATTCTAAGATGTTAGAACATCCAGTAAGCTGTTTTTTGAAGTTGGTATTCTAATGATCAAAAATCAATCAGTAGTTTATAATATGAGAAGTGTTCCTTAATAAACAGTATTTTATCTAGAAAAACTACAACCATTTTTTCACTAAACTGACGCATGTAATAGCCAATAGATGGCGTTGTTACATACATATATCTCTCAAATAATCTCCTATTACTCAAAATATTAATATTGTCTTTTACTTAATTTGTTCTCTTGAACTACATATACTTACGTTTCTAGAAGTTTTATATAAACAATATTATTATTACTACTGTTATATATTATATTGTGTTTTAATTACATATTATATTAATTGTGAAATCAATATAAACAAAGTTTAAATAAAATTTATTATATTCTGAATAAAAAATACTACAATACAAATAAATGAAATTAATTAAGCGCTTTTTGGAGTTTTGCATATAAAAATGGATTAAGTTTTTTTAGGTCACAGAACAGCTGGTCTTTAAACGAGTGAAAAATATATTATTTGTTATAAAAAAAATGACCTCATTCTCTTCAGTATAAAAACAGTTTACATCAGAGAGAATTTAGTTAATAGTAAAATATTTCCATTTCGATTAAAAGGATGTTCCGTTTTATTTTACTTGTGATATTTTGTGTAATTCTCTGTGAGGTGAGTCCTGGTAAAAGTGATAAAAAAGTGATAAAACTGTCAAATCCTTTAGAAGAGGACTTTGGACTTATAGTCATCTTCTTTTTTAAGCATATAAGCTTATGGTGAATGAAGTAGCGCAATTCATTACGAATTTAAATGAGCAACAGGGCCATATTCTTCACCTTAAGTTAGGGACCAAGTGGTATTGGAGTATTGTAGTTTTGGCGTATTGGAGATAATAACAACAGTAGCTGTGATGAGATTTCGAACAGTAGTGAATTGTAACAACAAAATTATTATTGCTTTTCGTCATTTATATTTTTAATCAGTGGTCTTGGAAATAATTTTTAGACACTGAAAGTACCAAAGGTTGAATTCGTACTCTGCAAATTTAAAACTTAGACGCAGTGTTCATAAATAAACTGACCCAAAGCTGTATTTGATTTATATGTTCGAGCTTCGGATTCGATTCAGTGCTATTAATAAATTATACACATATGAGGATCGATTTGGACTTAAAAAGCAGAAAATGTGTGCTGTAAAATTCTAATTGCATGTCTACTCAAAACTCGATAAAAGATTGTTTTTTCTTCAACATGTTAAATATAACAGTCAGCACCACATTGACTTTCGTATCCTAGAATAGAATAGAATAAAATAGAATAGAATAGAAATAAACACGGTACGAGCTCTTTCGTGCTACCACAAACTCTAACCGAACAGAAAACATTCCGCCTATCGAATCAAAGCCAAAATGTCAACCGTTGAGGACCCCCTAATGTCAGAAGGGGGAAGTAATTCTCGACGCAGTGATCTCTTCCTGACCCAGATCAAGGCTGGATAATCACAAAGAAAGTGACTAGAAGTCTCGTCTGCTTCTACGTAGAGTCGACAATCTATCTCTTCGGACAAACCTATTTTGTTAGGGTGATAACGCAATCCGTGGTGACCCATTAATTATACTACCACCAACCTCAACTCTGTTCTGCTAAGAAAGGATAACTTACCGTAACTGTAATGACGAACCAGCTCTTTAGCCTGGCAGTTACCTGGAATGTCGCACCAGTAGCGACTTCTTTCGTTTGAAAACGATTTTTTAATCAGAGTCCTAGTTGTAGACCAACTTAATCCATAATATGGATCCGGTCCACTGAATTGAATGACAGATCTTAACGTAGTTAGGCAGATCGTATCCTGATTTCAATTGAGTTTCAATCGATATCACAATACCTCTCGGATATCTTTACTGTATTCACATTTTTTGCCATTGTATTTATTAGACATTTTTATCGTATTCTCTCCAGTGGAGGCACAGCCCTCTCTTATGACGTCCTTCTCCAACTATTGCTGCAAATGTCTTTAGAACATTGTCTTTCTGAGTATGATTGTCGTTCGTATCCTAACAATTCAATCCAACTCACGATACTTTGTACTCTTTTTCCAAATGTCGCTTCAAACATCTCTAGAGCAACAACGTCTTTCATTTTGAAAATGATATGCAAATCCGGATGTTAGATCACTAAACAAAATCAATGCAAAATTATAAAGTACATAGCTAATATTGATATGTTAGTTGTGTTAACTTAAAGAGAGGCAAAAATGATAAGAAGGTTTCTCTCTTCTATTATCGATTCATTATTCGATTATATTATTATATTCATTGTTCATTATAAACTTTATATGTTCTATATAATATTTATAGAAGTATGTATAGAATGAGTGATACGTATAAGTAGATTGTAAATTTTGTTTATTGAAAGATAGAAAGCTTCACAAGTCTTCTTGGTCTTTGTATAACCAAGCTAAATTATATATGAGTTAGATACGCCAAAATTATAAAGATATTTTAGAGACCTAATATTTGTGATTTTTTAATATTTGTTTGCTTATTTCCATCTTTAATCAAAATCATCAATGTATTTTTTTATATAAGCAATTAAATGATATTTAAAAACTGTGAGAACTCGTTTCAGAACATAAATAGCTATACTACAGATCATTTATATATTCTTATAAAGTATTGAATAAAGGAAATTGAAAATTCTTTTGATTATAATATTAATATATTATATTATTGATATATTAATATATTATTATTAAAAAAAAGTATTAAAATAACTCTTTATTTTTATTTTCAGCTGACTGTGAGTATTCCATCATTAATCGAAGTTAAATTTTATTACAAATTGTGAATTTAATATTTAAAGTCGGCTACAAATAATGAAGGACCACCAGCTAAACCACCTGTAGAACCACCAGTACAGCCACCAGTACAACCACCGGTACAACCACCGGTATCCGATTTTTGTCCAGCACCAACACCAGAAATTTTGAGAGTGAGTTGATGAATATATATAGTTGGATCCAAACTTAATTTTTTTTCAAATTTTCCAGTGTATGCGTCAATGGGCTTGCCAGCATTTAATACGTGTTGATTTACGGTAGGTCAGAAAATATCGAAGACTTTCATTAATATAATAATAATGATATAATAGGTCTAATATTAGATCTCATACGTCACAATCTACTTATTTACAAAGTCTGTGAATAAGTAGGTTGATTAACCAATTCAAGAATTGTATCTATTGACAATTAACAACTGCCGAAAAACAAAATTCAGTTTCATCTTTGTAGATGTTTTCTCGGTAATAAAAACGTTCAGTATATCTAGTAGAATATGACGAGTCTATAAAATTATAACAAAGTCTATAAAATTAACCATGTTTCTAGTTTTGAAGGATGACAGGTCTGTTAGTTCAGTAAGACAAGGGACTGTAAATATGTTAAATCTTCTACTGACCAAAGATCCACACTGACACCTAAAGTGATACATAGTTTCCTCCTTCTCTGTGGTCATAACAAAACTCGTTATGGAGCTGACTAATACACTGCGACCTGTCAATACCGATACCGTGTTGCTAAGAAAGAACAGCTTTAGTTTATTAAACTAAATTATATTAAATATATCTTAAAGTTTGATATGAGTCTTCATCTGTCTAGGTTACTACTATATGTTTTTGTGGCTTGATATACATTTCAGCTATTGGAAGTGTTGAACCAACATTCGTGGAGTAAATTTTACCGAGTAGGGTGCCTATATCCTTTGACTTTAGTTGAAACACCTGACTGATACGTTACTTGTTTAAATTGGACTTAGTAAGTTTCGAAGTCTCATAACAGTCTTTATCTACCTAGTCTGTTTATATACTGCAGTATGA